TGTCCCTAGTGCCACGACTTCTTCTAAACCCAGCCTGTATTTGTGGTAGTTCACTGTCAATGTACAGTTCAAGTCTTTTCTGGAAAATCTTCAGCAGGATTTTGCTACTATGTGATATTAGTGATATTGTTTGATAATTTCCACACTCTGTTAGGTCACTTTTTTTTTAAATGGGAATAAATATGGATCTTTTCCAATCAGTTAGCCAACTAGTTGTCCTCCAGATTTCTTGGCACAACTTGGTGAGCACATGCTGGGCAGCATCTTTTTGCTGAAATACATCAATTAATATTCCATGAATTCCTGGGGCTTTATTTTTTTGCCAAGTGTAATTTTTCCATAATATTCTGTTATCATCGGTTTAATTTTAGCTGTTCTTGTTGTGATGTCATCTCTAAATTTCTTATTTATCTTTGTCTTCTTTTTCTTTTCTTTTGCTAAGTTTGTCAATGGTTTGACTATTTTATTGATCCTTTTGAAGAACCAGCTTCAGGTCTTGTTGATAGTTCCAATTGCTTTTCTGTTTTCTATGTTGTTGATTTCATCTCCTGTCTTTTCTTCTAGAGCCTGTTGGTTTAGATTGTTGTTTTCTATTTGGTAGAAGTTTTATGTTAAATAATTAATTTTGCTTCATTCTTCCTTCTTTACGTGTTTGCCTGTTTCTATGAATTTCTTCCTGAGAACTGCCTTAGCTGTATCTCAGAGGTTTTGATATGTAGTATTTTCATTGTCACTTGTTTTGAGGAATTTTTATTTCACTTTTATTTCTTTTACAACCCAAGTGATCCAGTAGGATGTTATTTAGCTTCCACTAGGTACGTTTGTTGTTTTAATTATTTTTAATCCTTTATCCTATTATTAATTTCTAGTTTATGGCATTCTGGTCTGAAATGATAGTTTGTTTTATATCAACGTTTTTAATTTGTAGAGTCTTTATGTGATAACATATGATCAATTCTGGAGAATGTACCATGTGCACTTGAGAAGAAAGTAAATTGAGTTTTAGTTGGGTGAAGTGCCCTGAATGCATCTAAGAGGTCAATTTGGCTAATTGTATGGTTAGTTCTTCTGCATCTTTGTTTAGTTTTTCGAATGACCTGTCTTTTGTTGAAAACTGTGTGTTAAATCTACTACTATTGTGATGCTATCTTTCTTTAACTCTGTTAACCATTATTTTGGGTATCTTGCAGATCTATCATGTGATGCATAGTTGTTGATCCAGGATGTGCCTTCTTTATTTATTGTGCCTTTAATCATTACATGGTATAATTTCTTATCTTTATGGTGGTTTTCATCTTGAAGTATATATTATCTGAGATAGTAGTACAATTCCTGCTTTCTTTTGTGGGTCCCATTTGCTTGATGTACTATTTTCCTCTCTTTGATTTTTGGGTTTTTTCCTTGTTTCTTAGCTGTTGTCTCTTGTAAGCAACTCCCCCCACCCTTTTTCTAATTTTATTCAAGAGACAGAATGCCATGAAATTCTGAAGATAAAGATAAAGCTGTATGTTGGTGTTGTTTGGTATCATTGGGTCAAGATAAAGCTATATATTGTTGTTGCTGTTGTGCACCATCATTCTAGAACCAATCGATATGTGACCCTCAAGTGTGTTTTCAGAAGCATTTGATTTAAATAAGCTTTGTTTTCCTATTCATTATTACTCTTTCTCTTAATGCGTGTGTTTAAGCTGATAACATTAAGTGTGAGTATTGATAAATCAGATTTTATCATTGCCTTTTTTTGGTTTCTTATTCTGAAAGTGGGTGATTGTCATCTGTGGCCCTCAGCCAGGTTCAAATTGTCTTCCTGTCAAACATTCTTCTAGGTGGTATAGCACTTGTCTGTGCGTTGCTGTACAGAGGTAACTCGTGGTTGCTGTGATGCTGAAGCCTGTGACAGTGATGTGCCAATCGTGGTAATGGGCACCCATGGTGGACAGTGTTGGCTGAAGCTTCCCGACTAAATCAAGCCTGGAAGCAGGAGCAGCATCCACTTCCAAAATGGCTTGTCTCCGAAAACTCTATGTAAGAACAGTGCTCAGGCTGTTCGTTCATAGGGTCGCTATGAGTCGTCTACGACTCGACGCCATTAAACAGCAACAACAACATTCTGTTGTTTCTACTGATTTTGGTCCAACTACTTTCTTTACTATCTCTGTTTGAGGGACTTTCCTTAGTATTTCCTGTTGAGTTAGTCTTAGTTTCACAAATTCCTTAAAAACCTGCTCTTTTGAAGATGAGCTATTTTTCTCTTTAATATGTGATTGACAACTTTGCTGAATACAAGATGTTCAGCTTTCAATGTTTCCTTTTATCATTCTGTATATGTCATCGCATTCTCTTCTTGCTCCCATGGTTCCTGCTGCGAAGTCAGAGCTTAGTCTAATTGGTTCTCCTTCATTTTTCTTGTGTTGCTTTTAGTATTCTATCCTTATGTTTGATTTTGGAGAATTTTACAATGACATATTTTGCACATCAAATTGTGGCTAACCTTGAGTAGAATGGGAATTCCAGAATACATGATTGTGCTCATATGAAATCTATACTTGGACCGAAAGCAGTCATCAGAACAGAGAAAAGAAACACTACATGATTCAAAATCAAATCAGGAAAGGAGTGCAACTGGTATGTGTTCTGTCTCTATACATTTTCAATCTACATGCAGAACAGATCATTTGAGAGATTGGACTTTATGAAGAGGAATGTGGCATCAGGACTGGAGGAAGACTCAACAACAAACTGCATTTATGCAGATGACATAGCCTTGCTTGCTGAAACTGAGGAAGGCTTGAAGCATTTGCAATGGAGGGTCAAGAACTGTAGTCTACAGTATAGACTGGAGCTCAACATCAAGGAAACAAAGATTCTCACTAGGCCAATTGGCAGCATCATGATAGATGGAGAAAAGATAGAGGTCATGAACAATTATAGCTTGCTTGGCTCCACAATCAACACTTTTGGCACCAACAGTCAAGAAATTAAAAGACAGATTGCATTAGGAAAATGCAAGAGTGAAAGAGACTAAGGTATACCTGATTCAGGCCATGGTCTTTTCAATTACTTGTTATGCATCAGAGAGCTGGACAATGACAAAAGATGATATAAGAAGAATTGATGTGGTGCTGGGGAAGAGTTTTGAACGTACCATGGACTGCCAACAGAACTAACAGGTCTGCTCTGGAGAGGGTAAATCAAGCTGCACCTTGGAGGCAAGGTTTTTGAGACTACAGTTCACATACCTTGGGCATGTTGCCAGGAGGGACCAGTCCTTGGAGAAGGACATCATGCTTGGGAGGGTGGAGGCACAGAGAAGGAGAGGAAGATCCCAGATGAAGTGTATTGACAGTGACTGGGGTAATGAGGGTAGATGTGTCAGAGACTGTGAAATAGACTCAGAATTGAGCAGAGCTCAGAGCTATTGTGCATAGAGTCGCTATGAGTTGGAATTGGCTCAACAGCACATAATAACAACAAATATTTTGCTATTTTTGTTTTGAGATCGAGTCTGTTTAGAGTTTGGTGAGTTTTTTTAATATGGATATCTGTGTTTTTCATGATACTTAGGAAATTTTCTTCTAATACCTCTTACACAATTGTCTCAGTTCTTTCCGCCTTCCTCGTCTTCTGGAATTCTGATCAGATATCTCTTGTTCCATTAGATTTATCCCACATGATTTACTGTTTTGTTGATTCCCGCCCCTCTAGTAACTTCCCAGTAAGGTTCTTGTCTTCTAGCTTGCTGACTTTCTGTCCCTTCTTTTCTCTTCTGCTTTTTTTTTTTTTGCCTCTACAGCTTGGTGGAAAGTATTTGTATTGATATTGATATTCTAGATTGCATTTTCATGAATTTCCATTGTTTGTACTGTCTAGTTTTGTGATGATTTAGTTCTTATACATCTTTGTCTATGGTTTCAATGCTTTCTTACATTATTTATAATTTCTTAGTAGTTGTTCATGTAACTCCACATCGACACATTTCTTCTGGCGCCCTGTCTCGGTGATATTTGCTTTATTTATAGTCTCAATTCTTTCTTTCATCATTTGTAACCTCTTTAGTCACTGTTCATATAATTCCATACTTACATATTTCTTCTGCCTCTCTGTTTCTGGGGTACTCATTGAGTCTGCAATCTGATCTACCTTTTAAGGAAAATGCTTCTTTTGTCTTTTCATAATCTTTTAAGATGCCTGCTGCTTTCTTGACATTATATGAATCCCTTCCTGGTATGTGTGAGGTAGTTTCAGCTATATTTGCATAGGTAGGTTGTTGACAGTTCCTTTTCTTTGTGAATCTATTGTTAAGTTACAGACTGAGAGTGTTGCCTCTGATTGAGTTTCCCACAGCAGTCTTCCCTGCTGGTCGTCTATGGGCAGATCTGTTCCCTATTTCCTGTGGCAAAGTTCTCATTAGTTGTCCTGTAAAGGACAGGAGCGGAAGTCTTTTCCTTTGTCTAGCTATGGTGGGCCTGCTTCTCTGTCCTGTCTGATAGTGAGAGATTCCCCCAGGATAGGCAAAGTCCTGGGAATCCTGCCCTGGATATTATGCAAGAAACTACCTTAGGAAAGTAACAAGGTCCCAAAAGTGCAGCTCCCCAGTCTAATGTGACTAATGGCCAGGTACCTCTCCCTTCTCCTGGAGCCTTTGGGAGAGGACCTATTCCTACCTGAGCAGATAAAGGCTCAGGGAAGTGCCAACTTCTCAACAATGCAGCTTCCAATTGGATTGATCTTGGAGGGAGATATGACCTCACTCTTCAAAACTACTCACTATAAATAGAAACCTAAAAAAATACCCCAGGGAAAGAGTGGTCTCACCTTTTTCATTTGTGACACAGCCAGCAAATCATATAGGAGGGAGAACCATACAAGATGATTTTACTCAACAATAATTTCCTTAATTTTAACATGGTTGAGAAAACACATCAAGAGTAGATGTGCACGCACATATGTGTACATATATGTTGCATGTGGATGTAACACCTTGTCTTTTTCATTTGCAGCTGGAGGTACAGTGCCCTCCTGGAGTACCCATTGGCTATGTTGCAGAACACTGGAACTTGTGCAGGGCAGTTTACAGCATTCAAAATGAGAAGAAAGAGAGCGTGATGAGTGTGTATGGGCCGTGCTCAACCTATGGCTGTGGCTCAGATTCTGTTTTTGAGGTAACTTATTCTCGAAGCTCTGGTGGTGCAATAGTTAAGCACTTAGCTACTAAGTCGAAACTTGTAAAGATTTACTGAAATTTTGGTGTAAACTCTTTCTAAGAAGAAGAATAAAACATATTATAATAGCTTTCAATTAACATAAAGCCACATTTTTATCTTTCTAGATTAATTCCCTCGATGGTACCCATAACATTGGTAATATTATCAGGAAGTGGAATGGTTTGCTATCAGCAATGGGACAAGCTGACCACTTTGACATTCAATTTCCATTAGACCTGGACGTAAAGATGAAAGCCATGATCTTTGGAGCGTGCTTCCTCATTGTAAGTTCCTCACTTTTCAGCTGTCCTCAGGAGAAGCAGTGCAGGGGGAAGGGGACCACACCTCCTAGTTGTACCATATCCTAGTTACACAATATTTGCAAAAGAAGCCTCAGTCTCCTCATCTTTTTTTCTTTTCTTAAATTATTTAATTTTTATTTCTCTTCAGTAGAGATGAAAGCATTTATTATTCAGATTTAAGTATATTAACTATCTTATGTGAAAATACCAACAAAGTGTTTGGAACATGTTACACATCTATTGCAGGCGAGATATCATTATAGCATGGTATTTATCAATCTCAGAACTTAAGTAACATCTATCCTATGATTTCCTTTTTTGTAAATTTTTTTAAAAATTAATTTTAATGAACGTTTATGGAGATTTTGCATTTACATACATTTATTTTAGCATTTTTCTTCCTGCCCACCCCTCCCCCCAAGTTCGCTCTTCTCTTTGAAAAGTGAAAGAAAAAAATATTTCATTGGTATAGAATCCCTCCCTCCCGCCCCGAGTATACTCCACTATGCAACTGTTTAAAAGCCATATATGATTGGGTATTATGGTTATCCTATGATTTCTTAATGAAATAAAGTTATTTCAAGCTGGTTTCCTTTGCCCTCCTCAGAATGGCCCCAAATAAGTGTTCCGTATTTAGATCCTTAGTATACCACTGGCTTTCTAGACAGGTTTATGGTTAATACTCTTAAATGAGTATTATATATTTATCTAGTGATTGTGTGACAGACCACCAACTACTCATATGCAAGTTCAAGGAAAATTAAATCAAGTCCACGGGAGCCAAAATCTGACCTTAAGTCTATCCCACTCGAATTTCAAAACCATCTCAGGAACAGGTTTGAGGCCTTGAGCACCAATGATCATAGACCAAATGAGCTCTGGGAGGATATCAAGAAAATCATCCATGAAGAATGCAAAAGATCATTACAAAGGCTGAAAAAGAAGAAAAGACCAAGATGGCTGTCAGATGAAACTCTGAATATTGCATTAGACCGCCGAGAAGCCAAAGCTAAAGAAGAAACCAAGAAATCAAAGAGCTAAACAGAAAATTTCAAAAGGCGGCCCGGGATGACAAAGCAAGATACTATAATGAAATGTGCAGAGAGCTGGAGTCAGAAAGACAAAAGGGCCGAACTCGCTCAGCTTTTCTTAAGCTGAAGGAGCTGAAAAACAAATAAAAGCCACAGGTGGCAATACTTAAGGATACTTTGGGCAGAATGTCAAATGACCCAGGAAGTATCAAGAGAAGATGGAAAGAATACACAGAGTTACTGTATCAGAAGGAATAGGCCGACACAGAAGAATTTAATGAAATGACATATGAGCAAGAACCTATGGTGATGAAAGAGGAAGTTCAAATGGCTCTGAAGGAATTGGCAAAAGAACAAGGCTCGAGGAGTTGATGGCATATCAATTGACATATTTCAACAGATAAACACTGCCCTGGGTGTGCTCACTAAGTTGTGCCAAGAAATCTGGAGAAAAGCCAGCTGGCCCACTGACTGGAAAAGATTGATATTTGTTCCCATTCCAAAGAAAGGTGACTCAACAGAGTGTGGAAATTATCGAACAATATCATTGATATCACATGCAGGCAAGATTCTGCTGAAAATGATCCAAAAACGTTTGGAACAATATGTCAACAGAGAACTGCCAGATGTACAGGCTAGATTTAGAAGAGGTCGTGGTACTAGGGATATTATAGCTGATCTTAGATGGATCTTGGCAGAAAGCAAAGAATACCAGAAGAATGTCTATCGGTGCTTCATTGACTATGCAAAGGCTTTTGACTGTGTGGATCACAACAAGCT